AAGTTTTCTTCCAACAACTCTTCAACAATGCTTTTTTGTTTGTTGATTTGTTTTTGACTGTTCCTGTTCTGGAATTCCAATCACATGTATGTATTCCTCTTGATGGTGTTCCACTTAGTTATTAAGCTTTATTCTTTTTTTTTTTTTTTTTCAATCTTTTTATTTCTGAAATTTTAGTATTAAATCTTCTGGGTTTCTATTTAATATTTTTGTATGGTTTCTAATGTTCTCTTTATTTTTTCAACTTGTTTTTATATTGTTTGCCTGAAGTCTTCTAAGGTTTTGTCTGTGTTTTCCTTGATTTTTGTCTGATTTTCATGGTGTGGCTTTTGTTTTTCTTGATCTCTTTCTTAATTTGTTGAAGTGTCCTAAGTATAATTCTTTTCAATTCTTTATCAGGTAGTTCCAATGCCATTTCTTCCTGCAGATTTTCTGGACCAGTATTTTGGTTACTTGCTTGAACCATCTCTTCCTGTTATTATTTGTGTGTGTGTGTTTTAAAGTTATTTGTTGTCTGTGAGACATTGTGGTATATTGTGTTAATTTTGATTTTATGTTGGTTTGCTTCACCTTATTATTTTTTTGTTTGTTTGTTTTGTTTTGTTTTAATATATCTGGGTAACAGGGAGTGCATATTACTTTGGTTGCTTGTTTGGCAGCATCAGGACACTCACCAACTATCTCTGGTTGAATTCTGTATCAGGTGGGATATTGGGCACATAGAGCTGTATAGGGCAGGCTAGGTGGGTGTTGGCCACTGTCTGCTATTGATGCATTGTTTAAGGAGAGGGCAGTAGCACTTGCCCAGGGGTTAGGGTGGCAGAGGTGGTATGGGTGGGTAGTGTTGCTGGCTCCCTACTGATGTGAGGAGAATATAAGGGTTAGGGAGAGTAAGAAAAATTAAAACAAAAAAAGAAAAAAAAAAAAAAAAGCCAGTGAGCTGAGGGAAGAAGTAAGAAAGGAAAATAAAGTGGTACAATACTGGTGCACAAACTAGCTGCCAAACACACTGTGGAAGAGCCACAGCACTTGCTCTGCAAGCTGCTAAATGCGAAGGGGATAAGTGAAAGAAACAAAAAAAAAAAAAAAAAAGGAAAAAGAAAACAAGGGGTGGGGGAGAAGGAAGAACTAATATGAAATAAAGAGAGAAAAAAAAAAAAGCAGCACAGTATTGGCTCAGTATTAGTTGCCACACATAACTGCAGAAGGAATGTAGTGCCTGCCCTGCAGAAGTGCACACCACTGACCTCAGAGGGTCAGGGATGGGTGCTGCTGATCATAGAGGTGCAAAAGGGCAGGCCATTCCCTCCATGGGATTGTGTACCTCCTCTCGCAAAGGCAGCATTGCCAACTGTGGAGTAGCAGAGGTGGGTGGCCAACTGTGGAGATAGCAGAGGTGGTTGTCTAGTCTGCAGGATCAAAAAAAAAGAGGAGGAAACAATGGAAAAATTGGGAGAAGAAAAGAACTAAGAAGAAATTAAAGAAAAGAAAAATAAGCAACACATTGGAGGGGGTTGATCAGCCACCAAGTGGGTGGGGGTGGAGAGGGCTGTGCCTCTGCTCACTGGGAGATTATACAGGGGAAGGGGGTGATCACACCTCTCTGGTTGCTTATCACCAGTGTGAGTCCCAGTGTGGTTCTGGGCAAGCGAAGCCAGTTATCTGGTTCCTGCCCCAATCAGAACACTGCTTTCAATAATTCATAATGGTTGTGTTGTGCCAGGCTAGTAGGAAATTTATCACTCCATATGCCTCCTTTTACACTCAGTCTCTTCCTCTAATCAGTATGTGATCTACTTTTTTATCCTTTCCTTTGAAGCTCTGTGTTCTAGGATTGTCATCTGTATCTGTTTCACTTGGTTTCACTAGGTCTTTGTTGTAGAGGATCTGGGTAGTATATCTGCCTAGTCCGTCATCTTGGTTAAAAGCCTCAGGGTTTATTTTTAAGACAAAATCAATTCTTCTTTTCAACTAAAGCTGCATTTAGAAGTCACAACATCAAATGTATTACATGGTCTCAGACCCATGTTTCATCTAGTTTAGGATTATATCCTAACAAAAGCACCAAGAGACATTTAATGGGAAAGCAGAATTGTTCTCTCTTATGTTACCTCATGAAACAAGTCACAGTGATACCAGATTTATCTTAAAGCTTTCATTAATTATAATATATAAATGACAATCTAAAACCAACATTTGGAGTTAGAAATTTTGCTAACTTAAATACATATTTCATTTACATTAATACTTTCAAGTCTACCGCTTTAAAGATTCTGGGATATGGTAAACAGATCTGTAGCTATGTTAACAACAGTTTTGTAGACAAACACAAAGCAGTTTTGTAGACAAATACTTGCAGGTTTTGTATTTCAAGGGTCAATAAATAGAATGGTAGAAAGATGTGACTTTGGAATCAGGTAGACTTGGGTGTTAATCACAGCAGACTTCTAAATAAATTGTGACATTTGATAGCTAATTATTCTAGTCCCGAGATTCTTCACCTGTAAAAATAAACAAATACCTGTTTTTCAAGTTATTTGTAACTACTGAGTGAAATGATATAGAAGAAGCACCCTGTGCAGTGCCTGGACATAGTATACTATCAACAAACACCAACTTCTTTCCCTCATTTTTCTTCAGCATGTGAGTCTCAGTCTTCTGCCTGTGCCTGTGAACAGGCCCTCTCAGCAAGCCCACTTAAATTTGATAACAAAGCAACATATTATGGAACATTCATAAGAAATTTCTTTGTTTCAAAAGTTGTGCTCAAAAAATAAATTCTGTGTGTATATTACTTTATGTTTTCTCACTTGACACATGGAAGAGATGTGTTGCACAAATATATTCTATCAAGTCCATATTAAATCTTATTTTGAGGAGTAATCCCTTAAAACTCATAGCCTCTGCCAAGTTTAAAATCTTCGGTCAGTTTGATAGATAGCTAATGCATATACTGATTCTAAGACAACACACAAGACCTTAGTGAGAATCAGAGAGGACCCCTGTTAGCACCTACATGCCAGTTTGAGGGACAAAATTAAATAACATATGTGAAAATAATGGATAAATAAAGGCTTATACAAGTGTCTGATAAATCCTAATTAAAATGCTTAGAATAAATTTATTGTCTGATTTATGCAACTGGATTTTCCTCATAATCCGTTATTAAAACAAATTGAAGATGTATATAGAAATTAATATGTCTGTTTTTTTATAGCTACATGAAGATTTTAAGGTTTCCTATTAAAAATAGCTTCTTAAAACATTTCAGTATATGTAACATAGAAGTTTTATAATTCTAATCTTTTAAAATGTGTTCTGCACAGTCCATCTGTGTGAGCTTGTTTTCCATGTTCCCATGTTCTCAGAAAGAGTGCCAGCAAGGGCTGTCATTGAGACGGAGGTTCAGATCACAGTGCCCACACACAGGCTAGTGACAGGACTTGGATAATTCAAGCCATTTGCTCTTTCTGCTTCAGTTTCAGTTCTGCATCCACATACAAGTTAGACATGGCTGCTTGAATGATCTTCCTCAAATACTGCTTGAATTCCCCACTTAAGACTCTGTGGAAGCCAGTTTCTTGCTTTTTATCTCCTTGCCTTTGAAAGTCATTCGAATGTCTTTAAAATGTTGCCCAGAATTAACAAATTCTTTACCAGGAGACTTGCAATGATTTGCCTATTTCACTTCTACCAAGAAGCCTCAGCAATGCTTCTCAGTTCAGACCATGAGAGTTGAGACAATCAAGTTTTTCAGAAGTGAGCCACATGATCAGAAATTCAGATGTGTGCAGGTTACACAAATTTCCTTTGGAAACATTAATAACAGCCTATTCACTGTTTGAAAATTAGCTTGATGGTAGGGAGAGGAAGAGGCAAAAAATTGGGTGGGTCGGAACAAATAATCCTATAGGATGTCAGCACAAGAAGCATTGAGCAGCCAAAGAGCCCCAAATGGTCATCCAGGCAAAGTAGAATAAATAATGGCATTATTCTTCAGGAGCTGAGTGATACCTTCAAAAGAATATGTTTTGAACCCACCCTGAGATACTACAGAGAAAAGTCTGGTGATCTGCTTTGGTTACAATTAAACCTCAGGGTCACAACCATGACCTTGAGACCAGACCTAGATGGGGCCTGGCTACCATTACTGAGTAGTCTGAAAGGAATCACAATAGAAGTTCCTGGACTGAGTGGTAGAAAAATGTGGAACAAAACTAAAAAAAAATCATCAAAAAAGACAGTGCTTACTGGTCTGATAGAAACTGGTAGAACCCCAAGACTGTGACCCTTAGATACCCTTCAGGCCTAGAACTGAACCCATCCCCATGGCTTAACCTTCAGCCAAACAATAGACAAGACTATGAGGTGAACAGTAACACCAGAGAGGTCCACACTCATTAGAACAATCAACCATATGAGATCAAAAGGCCAGCATTTGCCCAGGGATAAAGCTCAGAAGGCAGAAAGGAATAGGAAAAAAAGATTAATGGAAACACCAAACAGGGAGAAAGTAGAAGTACTGTTACATTGTGGGGATTGCCATCAGTGGCATGACACAAAATGTGTAGGAATTGTTGAATGGGAAACCCATTTGCTCTGTAATTGCTCAAATTACAATAAAAAGTTTTTTGAAAAAAAGACTTGTTGCTGTTGTTGTTGTTATGTGCCATC